AGAGACAGTCTCACTACTTTATTAATATGAAATGAACAATCTATTGCGCATAGTATTAGTTATACACAACCATTTAACAGCGACAGAAACGCATGTCGAAAAATAATGATTGATGTGTCAGTATTTATAATAATTCTATTTAAAAATCTTGTTTTTATACCACTGTATTGGTCAGCACTATTGTACATCCTTATCAAAAACAGAAACATGATAATATCTGTACCTTTTAGCTGCTCCTGAGATTGTCGACTGGATGGTGAAGCTACATGTTGAACACCATTATCTTTAAGAAATAAATAAATAATGTACAGTAAATCCAACATATGTTATTTAACAATGAAAAGAAGAAGAAGAAGAAAAAAAACATGATTTAAAGTAAAGTGCAGTAAGATACAAGATTCAATCCATTGATTTTTTTTTCCAGAGTGCTTCTCTTTAGCATGCACATTGGACAGTGTTCACACAAGACAAAGGGTCTTTCGAGTAAGATTACACTACATCAACTGCAACTACTTTCCTCTTGTAGTCCCAGTGATATGACTACTGTACCAATACATGAACGAAAAGAGAAAGAGAGAGAGAGAAAAAAAAAGGGGGGGGGAGTGAATGAGAGAGGAGAGAGGAGGAGAGATAAAGAGGGAGATTGGTTTTGAGGTCCATTAACTTTAGGGGAGTTTTGTCCAACGAAGGGAAGGGATATCTTAGTGAGGGTAATAAAAAAAGGTTTATCTAGAAAAGGAGGTTGACATTGAAGCGAACGATAATCAGGGGTCCCATTCCTCTCTGAATCGCGCCAGAGTCTCCAGGAATTCGGGACACCGGGCCTTTCCTGCACACCCGCGAGCAAACAAAAATCTTCCATAACTGCTGTATTATCATTTGTCTCCCAGAATTCAGCTGGAGATGGGTATCACCCGCGTGGCGATATTGAATAATATACGTTAAAAAGCCCATTTAACCAAATTCTTGGAAGTGGCTTATGTGAACGTGGGATCCCTGGATAAAAGTTTTGTTCACAATAATATTTGTTCACAATTTTGTTACTTACCTTGTGTAGCAGGAAATACAGTTGTGCTAACATTAACAGTTCCAATATTACATTGATTGAATGGACTGCCTGTTACAAAACCTAAACAAAAAACAAAATAAATAAAATTATTGACTAACTTTGGATATTATACTGAGGTTTATCCATGGTAGAAAGGGTGAACATGCCTCCAGAATATGAATCTCTTCCGGTTCGGTAAGCACGCCTCCATTTCGAAAGGACAAGGCTATATATACACCACTGTTACAGGTAACAACAGGTATAGATGTACTAATTATTACAGTTTCGTGCGTATAAAATAATTTCTAGCATCCTGGACCAACTTATTATTATGGTACCGCTATATGTTTTGCGCATCATGATCATATTACTATTTAGTAGGGCCGGCGGAACGTTTCCCAAAGTGCGGGGTGGGGGAGGGGGCACTAATAAGATGAATGGGAATATCAATGGGTTCAAATTTTTGGGGTGGGCCAAATTGTTCCCCAAAACCCCAAAAAAGTAGGGGGGTCCCGGGAAAATTTTGATTCCTAGATGACGGAAAATGAGCTTTCCCGACTTTGAGCTAGGTGTCTTTTAATGACTTTAAGGACTTTAAATCCTTCAAAATTCAATTAAAAAAAACGGTCAGGTAAACATTCTCATTCTTATTACAGCAAATAGGCCTGCTAGATGTGTATACATACAAAAAAGGGTAATTCATGCATACATGTTCTTTTTCCCATGAATCGATAAACCCCAAAGAGAAGGGGGTTCGGGGGTTCTCCCCCGGGAAAATTCAGCTTTCATGACATCTGAGTGTCTAAGACTTTTAATTAAGTTCTTCAAAATTCAAAGTTTTCCCCTCTTGAAAATGATTCCATGAATCAATGAACCCCAAAGAGAAAGGCGGATTCGGATTCTCCCCGGGAAAATTTTGATATAGTGGGAAACGAGCTTTCACGACTTCTGAACTCTTCTAATGACTTTTAAGTTGTTCAAAATTCAAGGTTCGCTCCTCTTGGAAAACGGTCAGGTAAATTTTCCTCATTCTTATTACAGTAAATAGGCCTTATGTGTGTATACATATAAAAATTTGAGTAATTGCATACTTACGGGGAAGATGTTGATTCCTGAATGGTGGAAAATGAGCTTTCCCGAATTTTGAGGTGTCTTTAATGACTTTTAATTCTTCAAAATTCAAGGTTTCCCCTAATGAAAACGATTCCATGAGTCGATGAACCCCAAAGGAAAAGGGGTCCGGGTTAACCCCTTTAGACTTTCAATTTATAGATGGCGGTAAATGAGATTTCCCGACTTCTGAAATGTGTCTTTCAGACTTTAAATTCTTCAAAATTTAAGGTTTTCCCTCTGGAATACGGCAGGTAAACTTTTCTCATTCTTATCTTATGTGTGTATACGTACATACAAAAATTAATTAGTTGCATACGTATTCTTTATTCCATGAATCGATAAATCCCAAAAAGAAATTGGGTGGGAGGCTCTCTCCCGGGAAAATGTTGATTCCTAGATGGCGGGAAATGAACTTTCCCGACTTCGAAGGTGTCTTTTAATGACATTTAAGTCCTTCAAAATTCAAGGTTCCCCCCCCCCCCCTGAAAACGATTCCATGAATCAAGGGACCCCAAAGAGAAAGGTGGGTTCTGGTTCTCCCCGGGAAAATGTTGATTTCTAAATGGCGGGAAATGAGCTTTCCGACTTCTGATGTGTCTTTTAATGACTTTTACGTTCTTCAAAATTCAAGGTTTTCCCCCTGGAAAACGGTCATGTAATTGTTTTTGATTCTTATTACAGTAAATAGGTCTACTATATGTGTACCGGTATACATACGTTGCATACGTATTCTTTTTTACATGAATCGATGAACCCCAAAATAAAAGGGGGTCGGGTCTTCCCCTGAGAAAATGTTGTTATTGTAACAAAAAAAAAAGAAAAAGAAAAAAAAGAAACAGCTCATGAGTCCTAAAAAGGTGGGTCTAGAATTCCTTTTTATTTATTTTTAAATTTTTATTTTCTTTTTTCTAAGGGAGGGTGTCAAGTCCCCTGATTCAACAGATCCGCCAATGTGAATTGCTAGAAATCTAACTCGGTCGTGGACTAGATAAACACTCCCTTTCCACTCTCTCTCCTCCTTCCCGCTTTCTGTTCTTGCATTTCATTCCGATCATACAAAAATCTCCATAGACTTTATATATTTTCTGCCAAAAAGTGTGGGGGGGGGGGAGGCTGGCCCCTGCGGCACCCCACCCCCGGTTCCGCCGGCCATGTAGTAAATTCCACAAACGATAACGAAATTAAACTGAAAAATATTTTCACACAAAATTAACAACGGCAAGCTGTAATCAATCAAGGATCCGTGTAATAGGAATGCTCCCTGCTGTAATAAAAAATTAGTAATCATTATAATAGTTAAAATATAATAACAGTTATTTATAATTACATTAATATTCACTTCAAACATTAATATTTGAATTACCTGGATTGCCTTGAATAACGATATTGTTTTCCACCGTGCAAAGATTATCTGAAAAGACACTTTACGTTTACATGTCATACTATTAATTTATAATTGAGTACCGGTAACACTGCATTGATTATAGGCTATACTATCTATTTGATTCCGTTTAATGTTGCAGTCTGTTTATCAGGTAGTTGTGTTTTGCCTGTCTATGATTTGACCATTTCCAACTGACAAACTCGACGAGTACACAGAAATAGTATAGTGGTGACACTAGACTCACCAACGAGCAAGTTCATTTTGAGACGAAATAATCCGTAAAAAGGAATCGAGTATGAGACGCCAAATGAATTAGATATGACGTGCACTAAGCGCAATAAAAAGTGAGTAACCTACAATTAGGGCATGGAACCCAGGCTATGGTGATACCAGCGGAGGAGAGACAGTCGCCCTCCCACCACTCCACCCCTGAGGACGTTTCAAATTTTGGAAATAAGTCCTTTTCCACCAGGACTTAGATGGTCATTCCTAATATCGTTTAACTTTTGTTCTTGTACGTTTTCTTTTTTAAATTTTTATTGGTCACCACAAGTTTTAAAAAAATAGACTAGAGTGTTTTCCTTACATGTCAGCTGTTAGACAAAGCAATAAAAGCACAAAAAAGCTTTACAAATCCTGAAATGTGTGTGTGTGTGTGTGTGTGTGTGTGTGTGTGTGTGTGTGTGTGTGTGTGTGTGTGTGTGTGTGTGTGTGTGTGGTTAAAGTTGTATATCCAATGATGAGTTACCTGAAGATTTAGCTCGGCCAATTTCGTTTGTAGCATCTGTATCTTTAATCACCATCAGCTGTACTTTGTCATCTACTGTAATAAATATACACACATTGATTAGATCACATATGCCTCTACAGACACTTGGGTGTGGGCAGGTGCCCTCAGGGAGAGTAGGCCTAATTAAATAGTCAAGGGGTTAGCAAGAGGTCAGTGACAAAAAAGAGGTCTTTAATCATAAGGCGATTAAGCATGTGTGATTTGTATTAAATGATATCATAAAGGCCATCAGAAAAACATTATTTCTGTACAACAGTGCCATTTTTGAGCATCTATTCTAGAACAACCATTATTTAAAACTGCTCATATCAATAAGCTAAGGTGGTGCTGATGTGGGTGTATATTGTCTCAGTCCTACATAAGCCCCAGATACCTAGACATAAGACCTATACTACGGTTCTTAACAAAATCAAACCTATTTGATAAACTGATAACTAACATGGAATGTTCCTTTTGCTTTTCTTAGTGTGCCTGTGGTCTAATTAATAGGGCATTGGATTTACGATCACTGATTTCATTGCCTTGCATTTATAATACCGTACTGTATTTGAAAAAAATAGGAACAGATTAGAAAACTTATGTTTTAGCTTATTACATCAATAATAATTAATCAAATTTCTTATAGAGATATGGGCTATAACATTACTAAGGCCTACCGTACTGAAGTAGGCCTAAGCATAATAACAAACAATTTAACGAATAAATGTAGAGAGTACATTCTACTGCACATATAGGCAATGATACTTACTGGTAGATTTTCTTTGGCTAGCTGCTCTTTCGGCAAACGGTAGTCCTTGGGGGTCAGTTTGTGAATCAATAATTTGAGATGTTGTTATAGTTCTCATAAAATTATCCATGTTCTTTTCACAAAAAACGTTTCTTTGTTCCAAATATGCAAATAATTCCCACCTGTCGGCCTTTTGTGAACAATTGTACTGTTTTGAGATCTCTTTGACATCACCGTCATTGAGATTGTTAACAACCTCGATCAGAATTTGTCTGTTACGTGTAAATTTTGATATGATTACTGTCCTCGCTGGCAATAGTGTTGTCATTGTCAGCCTTCTTATTTCTGGCTCCAAACCAAATGGCTTAGTTACATTGATAGTATCAATTAAGATGGTCAGATTTGTGCCACTAAGATGTCCAGAGGTATGTAATAGTTCAAACAAATCCATCACTTTTGTCGCAGCACATAGCTTATCAGGATCTGTTACAAGATCTCTGTACAACACTTTCAGCATATTGATGTATCCATGACGGTCATACCACCCTGACATGGATGATAATATTTCTTTGTAATCTTTATCGGTGATTCCTATATTATGATAAATTACAAATATTTGAGGAATGTGAAGGAAGCTTTGGTACTTCAAAATAAAATGATTCTATCTATTCACATCTCTCTTAGACAATTTTTAGTCCATTTCCGAACGCTACATTGCCGACTCTTACTTTGCTAAAATCCGTTTTGCCAAATGTCTTTTTAGATACACTGTTACTATTGTTATTACCCATCTAATCTATTCTTGACAACAAAAAAAAAAAGAAAAAATAAATAAATAAATAAAAATGGTTAAACAAAATCTCAATGTTAGGGCGCCTTGTGGCGGCACAACAGGGGTCCGACGAAGACAATGACCCCCACTTCAGAGAAGCCCGAACAATGATTAGTAACTACAGTCAGAAGGCAGTCAACATTAAAATATCGAGTCATTCGAAAAACGGAGTTTCGGCAAAGCGTGTGTCGGTAATCCGGCATTCAGGAAAGTGGCAGTTGAGATTGAGTGTCTGCAATGTAGAACGTGATAGCTACTATGTAAGAATTAAAAAAGTAATAACAAAGTTAGACATATTTAAATTATGAAACATGAATATTTAAAACTTCAACATTGTTAAAAATGGTCATGATTAATTTTCACAAAACAGGTTTTAATCAAACTTGGTAAAATTATAATATGATAATCTGATGTACGGTAGCTTATGAAAAGAGCAAAACATAAAGTGGACCGTAAAAATACAAAATATTGATTAAGCCTACCATGACTGGAATCCATGTTTATTTTGTTTTATCCAAGACTTGATTTCTACAATATAACAGTTGTTTAATCAATCAGTCAATCACAATTTATTAATCAAACATTGTAGTCACTGCAACATCTAGTAAATAATAGATGACTTCTGTATTCAATGTGATTAGACATGTGAACATCCAGTTGTAATCTTAATAAGAAATTAAAATATTGGTCATTGTTTTAAAACACTACTGTTGTTTTGTCGTTGGCAAAGCTGTAATGGACAACGGTAATGAAAGACTGTAAAGAATAATAGAAACGATTATTGAAGCAGGAAAAAATTATAGAATGAAGATAAACAGTAAGAAAACCAAGGATTTCCACAAAAAAAAGAGAAGCAAATGTACATATAGAAATAAATATCGATGGTGAAAGGATTGTACAAGTTTTTCATTTCATTTATTTTCATAGGAACATTATTTACTTCAGTACAGAGTAAAATACAATAATGCATGTAAAAAGTAAAGTAATGGAGAAGGCGTTTCCAATGAAGAAGGCATTTCCAATAAAAGCGCAAACTTGTGTACAGGAATGTCTAAACAGTGGACACAAAGAAAAAAAGGGGCAAAAAAACAAAACAAAACAAGGACAAACGAACAAATTGTCATTGAAAATTCAATAAATACTTAGATTTTTTTCTATTAGAATTATTATTGACAAGAAACTGTATGGAATTAATCATTCTAATAGAACAAATTTAAGCATTTTCAAATGAAAGATGACACATGAGTGTTTTAGAAAAGCTTTTATTGTTGCATATGTTTTTGGTATTATTGAAAAGATTACACAGAATTACAAAAGTAATTAAAAAAAATAATAATTTAATGTAAAAATCATGATAACATTTAAAACCCACTAATTCATATTTGGCTGTTGCTTCGACATTTCCCCAGTGATGTCTGCTATATGTTCTGTACTGTACGAAAGAAAGCTGTTTAAGGATTTTTTTGTTGTTTTGTTCGGACAGATTGAGGCAAACGTCGATGAAATTTGATAATTTCAACGATCTAACCCATTTTTCATATTTCCCCCAAGTTTTTAAATATTCAAAAATCTATATCTCATTAACCGTTTTATTTTATCTCAATTACCAAGTTTTTCGTCAAAGTTTAAAAAGAAAATTCAGACGTCTCTGTTTCTATTGGCAATCATGTATTTTTTTATCTTAATTTGTTGGGGTTTTTTTTCATTGTATGTTATAAAGCTATTGAAATGGCAAAATGTTTGGCCCAAATATATTTCCAAAATAAAAGAAATGAATGTAAAAAAATTACTGTCCGTTTCTGCTTGTCTTGTGTGGGGGCATTTTACTTTTATTTCATGATAATAAATGAAAATTCATGTATGTATTAATTGATCCATAAGTCAACCATCATTTTACCAGAGTCCGTTTTAATGTCGCAATCGACTGGCACAAACAGTTTTATGCAGTCTGCCCAATAGTGCGAATCATGATTGTTTGCTTATAGCCATGAGCATGCGCAGTAAAGAACAGCCCGTGGAAAGACAGCGGAGACATGCCTTTTGAGTGGGATGGGGTGCGGTCCTAGCCTACCCCCTGTCTGGCATGTTAGCGCTTGTCGCAACGGTTGCCATGACTCGATTCTTAACTTCAAACCACTCGCTGTGCTTGTGTCTTTAATTCAGGGCAGGTCCAGGATGTTTCCTTTCGGGATTGGGGTACATTTGTGCCAATCGAGGAACTATGGTCCAAAGCATGGTGTTTGGGTGTGTTTCCTTGCCTATTCTGGGGGCCATGTGGGCTATTGAATTTGTTCTCTTACACTTGGTTAGAGATATGCTTTGGCTGCTGCCAGGGAGTAGGCGACTTTCTCGCCACCTCCTTCATCTGCCATTTGTCGGGCATTACTTTATCTAGGTTCCTCTCTCTACCTAGTTAGATGGACACTTGGTAGATGTTGTGGTGTTCAATGTATCAGTTTGTGCCTAGTGCAACATAAGTTAAGGGAAGGAAATCGCACTTTGTGTACCGGTACATGTTTGCCAGAATCCAATGACCAGGGGCGACAATATAACAGCCCCTTTGTATTTCTCGGAAAAAGGCGTGGGATTAATAAAAAGCACCACATCATTTTTAGTATATTAATGATGCATTTTTTTCATAAGCGAGGATTTTTTTAGTAGGAAAAGTATTAAATTAAATATAATTTTAATCGACGAATTGCCAAAATAGGGCTTACATATTCAGAAACCTTTAGCTTATTGTCGGAGAGAGAATAACCTATGCTTACATAATAAAAATAGGTTAACTATTAAAACTACAAACTATAAAAATCCAGGTACTGCTACCCTGGAGAAAAGCCCCGCCTGCTTCGGCGTATTTGACATTTTTAAGAGAGTATTTTGTTATTGTCTAGATTATTTTATACGAGGCAAAAAATGCTAAAAAATATGGGCCCTGTAAGGCCTGTATACCCTGGCTTTCGTGTGATAATTGATTGTAAAATGGGAGTCTTAATACTAGCCTACCATATTATATGAGTCTGACTGTTTCCAGATTTACTCGTTCTATATTGTCCCAGTATTAGTCTTGTCGTCCATATAGACATGGTGGAATGCTGTTTCTTATACACATCTAGATGTGTATAAGAGACAGGGCGTAGGCCTAGGCCTACCCGTACACATCTTTAGTCAACCCGTACACAGCATACACTAAGCCGTACCCAAGTTTGATGAATGATATTTTTACTAAAATAAAACATTTTGCAAACTGTATTGTATATTAGATAGTTATCATATTAAACTATTATTATTAAACTATTATTATGAACGCCAAGCTTTCCGGGTTAGAATACATAATTACCTTTACCGAGCATGTATTTAATCAAGAAATTCATGATCGCCTAGGCCTAGACACGTTGGTCACGATTAACAGATTATGGAACGCCGATGGACACATTAAGAGGTAATTGTTTAGTAGAAAGCATAAGGGGACTCATAGTCTTTACAAATGAAGCGGGCTACTCGACGCTGCACACTTTCCAGCATTTGGCAAACACCCACTCTGTAGGGATCAATCGCAGAGGCAGAGAACTCAAAATTTGGAATTAAGGAAACATAAAGCTCTGTCTCTTATACACATCTAGATGTGTATAAGAGACAGGTTTTGGAGGCCAGCATGCAGTATTTTCGATGGGTGGGGAAGGCGGAGCGTTTTGCAAGCGAAGATAGGGTCGGGAGCTTCAACAAATTAACATTTTGAGGGCCTTCTTTAAATGAATTTCTGAAATCCATTATTCGTGAATATTCTATTTAAATTTTATGATATCAACGGGCTGGCAAATGAAATGTAGTCATATTATTGCATGTTGCGATAACTGGGAACGATTTGTAGTGAAATATTTTATATAAGGTGAACCTTTTGAAGTGGTTGTCAGATGTGCATGCGCCAGGCTTTGCACCCCTGCTTACGGACGTATTTTGTCTTTTTTGACGAACTGTATTTTTCTACTTTCCCAGTTTGCTACAAATTATTTCTAATATATCCGAATCTCCTTCTGTCTGAAAGACAAATAACAATCTTCAATCTATTAAAACTTCGTGGAGACCGACCCGAGACCACAGCACCAAATTCAGGTCCCAAAAGTGGTCTCGAACGGGAGGGCCAACTATACCATAATTAAGCCAATTTATACTTAATAATTCCTTTAATCTAATAATAAGTCTCTCTCTGTTCATTGTGAGTTAAAATTTGTTAAATGTAATACACTTTAACTGGTAATACATTTAAAGATTTTTGTAACTTAGTTATTTGCTTGATCTGTGCTTAGTTAATAATGTAAAGTAAGCTTTCCAATATTTTATTTTATTTTTATTTATTTATTTTTAATTCTCAAACAGGCAATACAAAAAATGATCATGTTTCTACAGAACACAGGCGCCCCGGGATTTATCAATCTCAGCTTAGCAAATGTCTTAAGGTCAAAGTTAAAATGTCCCTAAGCAAATCTTGAGCTGATTTATCAAACCATCTTTGCAAAACCTTAGCTTAAAATCCTCTTAGATGGCGCATGCGTACAATCGACTTTTTAATTTTAAGAAATTTTTAGGCTAAGCAATATTGATAAATTTGACTATAAGCAAAAAATGAACGGCCCCATGTATCATAGTGTATTAAAATATTTCTCATAAACGCGTTTATCAATATGTGAACTCGTTTTACCACAGGTAGCATTGAGAGTTCCGTGTGTAAATGTTGTGCGAATTTTGTTCCTTT